ATATTTGTTAACATAATGAATGCTTCAAAAAAAGTTACAGAAAGCAAAGGTTACCTATGTCTTTGTTGGTGATTTGATTAAAAACAATATTTCACGGGAAAAAAATAGCTGAGCATTATGGCAGGCACTTATAGTCCCAGCTACTTGGGAGGCTGAGGCAAGAGAATCACTTAAGCCGAGTTTGAGGTTGCTGTAAGCTTGATGCCATGGCACTCTACCAAGAGTGACATAGTGAGACTCTGTCTCAAAAAAAAGAAGAAGAAGAAACATTTTATGTTACAATCTACGACACACAGAGAGACATAACAGCAACAGATGTTTCAAGGCTTATAACATACAGCATGCTCTGATATTTTCAATTCTATTCTGTTTGTTTTTTTAAAAGCTGATCACAATCCACTAAATCAGGGGTCCTCAAACTTTTTAAACAGGAGGCCAGTTCACTGTCCCTCAGACCGTTGGAGGGCCAGACTGCAGGCCCCAGGACAAATCAGCTGCTAAGCAGGACAGGCAGTGGCGGCAAAAACACCCGGTGGGCAGGATAAATGTCCAAGGCAGGCTGCATGTGGCCTGCCGGCCATCATTTGAGGACACCTGTGTGACTAAATTGATTTTGCAAACCTACTAATGACCACATCCTGAAGTCTGAACAACACTGCATACATATTGGTGAAAGGGAACAGATTTACCCAGAACTGGAGCTACCTGTCCTGGCTTCCTTCTGTTCACCTCACACCTGTGCCCTAGGCCTGCCTTGTGACTGAGCCAGACCCAGGTCAGGTCAGATGTGGCTGGACAGAAGAGCCCCTGAACGGCTGAGGGCCCCTTTGCAACCTGCTGAGAGTGCAGCCTTCTCTAAGGGTCTCACAGGCTCTCTCCCTGCAGGAGTCATCAGCCAACAACAATGTGGACTTGGTCCCTACTGCATCCTTGCTGTCCCTTTGTGAAGAAGGCATTATTCTTATTATTTCTCAGATAGAAACCCAACCGAGGTCAAAAGAGGTGAAATGATACAGAATACGGATAAATAGGCCCGGTCCTACTTTGGGATTCAGAATGTGAGTTAAGCAGGGAAATTGGCTCCCTGGAAAATGCTGAATAGGACTGATAAGTGGCTGTGCATAAGAAAGTGCTAGAGACACAGAAAAGCAGATATGAAAATGGGCAGGGCAGGAGCACCCCTACCAGATGGCGTCTGGCATTATCAGGAACAGCTGCACTGACAGAGATTGGCTTCATAAGGAAGGGCGGGGGGGGGGGGAGGTGTCCCAGTGAAGGCTCCAGGCCTAGGCAGAGCAAGGGCTAAACAAGAGGTCAAACAGGGTGGAGAATCCAGCCTGCCCATGCCCTCATCCAGTCTCCTGTCTGCAATAGACAAGGGACTCTATCAAGGGGAAGGCTGATATGGTGGGGGGTGACCTGCTCTTAGGATTTCCTCAGCCCATCCCAAAGGAACAGCTGTGTCTAGTGCTGTGGACCTGCCAATTGGACAGAGGACAAGTATAGTATGATGTGGCCAAGATGAGCTAGGAAAAGATGTAGCAATGATTTTGGAAGGGCATAATGGGGCCATGTAATGCAAAGGGGAAAATGGGATTTGGAGTCAGAAGGTTCCATTTGGGTCACTGCTCTCTGTTCAGGAAACAAAGAATCACCAAGCACCTTCTGTGATGTGTCAAGCCCTGAGGTTAAGCAATAGGCAGCTGAAGCCTCAGGGGTTGACAGTATCGTGAAAAGTGAGGAGAAATAAAGAAAGAATAAAGCCAGGCATTGTGGCTGAGATGGAAGTGGGAGAACAACTGAGCCCGGGAGGTCAAGACCAGGCTGAACAATCCTGTGAGGAGAAGAGGTGCAGGGAAGGGGAGAGGAGAGGAAAGGACAGAAGAAAGGAGAAGGGGGAGAGCAAGGAAAGGGAAGGGAAGGAGAGGGAAAGGGAAGAGCAGGGAGGGGGAGAAGAGAAAAAAGAAACAATAATAATAAAGTATTGAGCGTGGTGACTGACAGATGCACAGAGGCTGTGGAAGCACAAAGGAGGAGTTGTCAGAGATGATCCCTAATTGGTATCTACTAGCATTTTCTCAGATGGCAATTAGAAGAAAGACACTTTCCAGTCATAGGGAGTAGCAAATGCAAATGAGAGATGGGGAGTCATTTCTGCAAATTCTAGAAATAAGTAATTCCCATTGGCTAGAGTGCAGGTTAAAATGGAAGTGGAAGATTCTGCTGTCAGGGAAAAGAAGCTATACCCTATAAAACAATGTTTTTTTGTTTGTTTGTTTGTTTTTGCTGAGACAGAGTCTCACTCTATCGCCCTCGGTAGAGTGCTGTGGCATCACAGCTCACAACCTCCAACTCCTGGGCTCAGGCAATTCTCCTGCCTCAGCCTCCAGAGTAGCTGGGACTACA